TACAGCTTTTTAGAGTAAATTATAGACGATGTTCTGTCCTTTCCGTGGCAAGATAATTTTCTCTCTGAGTTTATTCACATCGAAATTTTTTTGATAAATTGATGCTATCAACTCACCCACCTATCGAGTCCAGATTTTGTGATTTTCATTTTTACACTAAACCAACACAATATTGTGAATATGAGTCATTTTGGTCCATAAATATAGAATTTATTAATAACTGGACTACATCGCCACTTACCATATCCTAGCCTAGCTATAAAACATTGTCTTAACAAAATAAATATATTTTGTGAATATGACCTCAATCGGTCAAGTGGTTCAGTTCATAAGTTACACGATCACCGAGCTTAGCTCGTCGTTATAAAAAAGTTATTATTTTGACAGGGATTACAAAACCTTGTTTATGTAGTAAAACATTATCTACGTATAAAATTAAATACAATAGGTTAAAGCCATTTCAGTAATTTTTATATTTTAATTCAAAAAATATATTAAATATAGGTAAAACAATAAAAAACAAAAATTTCAGCAAGTATTGCAATCAAACATTTTTCGACCAAAGCTTTGAGAGCTCACAGTTAAAGCTAAGCATAACGTCATGAAACTCTATATACGTATTACGCACAAAAAACAATGTTTTGTTATTCTTTAAGGGCCTATGCTACCTCAAATGGCTTAGCAAGATCCTCCGTTATGCCGAAAATATTGCAGCATTAATTTTGAAATTAATATATGTTAAAGTTAAGGATTATTTTAAGTACTATGTTAGACGAAAACACGATACCGAAAAGTTTTCTCGGTAGAAAAAAAATCAAAAGTTACTTCCAAACTGAACAATAAACCGCTGGTGTTCATAAAATACTTTAAATTAGATCATGAAACTTTGCATACTAACTGAACTAACTATAAAGAAGGTTTTTATATATTATAATATATATATTTTTTATATATTATTTAATTACTTTTATTTTAACTGTAAAAAGAAATTACTTAAACTATTGGCTTCCTGAACCTTGTTCCCAGCCGCCTGATCAGTCTCGCTTTGAATTTCGAACGGGAAAGCTGGGTCGCTTACGATCAGAATACACATTACGCAACAAGACGACGTAAAATTAAAATGGGAAATAACCGTAACAAAAATAAGAAGCGACTGAGTTGGCGTAAAGAAACGGTCATAAATATGATAAACCTATCCACTTGTGAAGTTGGACTTACCTAGTCGGACTATTTGTCCCAGGTAAACGTACTCGTCAACAACTTCGAGCTTAGTGCTCCCAACAACAACCGGCATAGGTGTGACATGGACATTAAACATGATCTTTGTTTTCACCATGTTCATCTTAAGACCTATCCGTTGGGAGACATTATTGAGGATATTGAGGGTAGTGTTTAAGTTCTCCAGCGATTCTGCCATAAGGACTATATCGTCGGCAAATCGAAGGTGAGTGATGTACTCGCCATTGATGTTAATACCGTATCCTTTCCAGTCTAGTAGCTTGAAAACGGCTTCCAATGCAGCGGTGAAGAGTTTCGGGGAAATGACGTCACCCTGTCTTACACCTCTCTGCAGTTGGAATAGTTTCGTACTCTGGTTCTGTACTCGGATAGCCATCGTAGCCCTTCTGTACAAACACTTCAGCACTTCGATATACCGACAGTCAACTTGGCACCGCTGAAGGACTGTAGCACCGCCCAAATTTCGACGGAACAAAGGCTTTCTCATAGTCCACATACGCCAGGCAAAGTGGCAGATTGTACTCTTCGGACTTCTGTACAATTTGCCGAAGGGTATGTATGTGGTCTATGGTACTAAAGCCTTTTCGGAAACCGGCTTGTTGGGGAGGCTGGAAGTCGTCGAGTCTGCGTGCGAGACGATTCGTAATGCCTCTCGAAAACAGCACGTAGACGCGGCTCAGAAGAGATATCGGTCTGTAGTTCTTCAAGAGAGCGTTGTCACCTTTCTTGAAGAACAAGACCACCGCACTTCTGCTCCACGCCTCCGGAGTAGTGCCACCATGGAGGACGGAATTAAAGAGCGTTTTCAGAAACTTCGCTGTAATTCCATCCTCGCCCGGGGACTTGGTTTTTAAGGTTGGGCTTCTAATCTCGCTCAGACTGACCTCCGGGATATCATCGGAATAGTGTCGGATAGGACTTGCTCTGGGATCGCTACTCACACTTGCGTGTGGCTGCAACGATGATGTGTACAGCTGCCCATAGAACCTCTCAATCTCACTCAGAATCTCAGGTGTCCCGGAGACGATGCTGCCACACTCAGTCTTCAGCTTTGACAGTTGGCTCTTACTGGCAGACAGATCTCTGGCAAAGACTTTGGAGCTCTGGTTCCGCTCGAGCGCCTCTTCAATACGAGCAGTATTAAAGTTGCGCAAGTCTCGCCGCATGCATTTGGAGACCGAGAGGTCAATCTACGGATTCAACTCGGATGAGCAGCGTTCGGGAAATTACGACACATCTTCTCGTCAGGTATACCTCAAAACCTGAAAACTAAGCTGTACAACCAGTGCGTGTTGCCAGTGATGACCTACGGAACCGAGACGTGGTCCTTCACTGTTGGCCGTATGAGGACGCTCAAAGTCGCTCAGCGAGCTATTTAGAGGGCTATGCTCGGAGTTTCTCTGCGTGATAAACTTAGAAATGAGGATATCCGCAGTAGAACCAGAGTGACCGACATAGCCCATCGGATTAGTAAGCTGAAGTGGCAATGGGCCGGCCATATAGCTCGAAGAATCGACAACCGTTGGGGAAAAAAGGTTCTCGAGTGGCAGCCTCGTACCGGTAGGCGAAGTGTAGGGTGACCCCCCACTAGATGGAGTGACGACCTGGTAAGACATGCAGGAAGTCGATGGATGCAGGTGGCTCAGGACCGTCCTTTGTGGCAAACCTTGGGGGAGGCCTATGTTCAGCAGTGGACTTGTGAAAGGCTGTAATGATGATGAATGATGACCTATCTACTTACAGTATTAGTGATGACATACATGTCGTTAGTAGCATACGACGCGCGGGGAAGTAGGCGCGAAATTAGAATTTGAACTGAGGCAGTATAGGCCCTTAAGAATTTATTTTGTTGTCTCAACCCACTATGGATTGAGATGTTGGCATGTATGTGGATGGGAATGACATGACTTTCATTGTTTTTCTTAAAGAAACCAAAACTTCTGAGTCGGTTTTCAACGGCGTATTTCAAAGAGGAATATGAAACTTGTTTACGGTTACAATCTTTAGAAATTAATTTATACTATAAGGAAAGTTAATAATAAGACCTTAACCTAGGACTTCCTCTAAATCTTGTTAGGCTAGCTATCGTATTACACGCAATCATAGTTATTCTTCTAGCCGAAGTTTTTTTGAATGACAAACATAATCCGCCAGACAATACATACTTTAGTACTTTATTTTTTATTTAACTTCATTTATTTTTATGTAGGGATTACAATTTTGAAGTATTTTTATAACAATGAAGTCACAAGCAAACTCACAGTCCATCTGATGGTAAATGGCATGGCAATGGCAATGGTAGTTCACCTTCTCCACTGCTATTTGACGGAAAAAATGGGTAAGAGGGTGGTAAATACCCTGAAGGACTCCCAGGCAGTCTCTCACCATTATATATATTTTTCATAGTTTGTATATATATTTTTTTTTTTTATTTTTTTTTTTTTATCTCCCATATATATATATATATATATATATTACTCGTGTTCTCCACACGCATTTGATCAATTTTTGTAAGTAAAAAAGTCAACAAGAAAGACTATTATTATAGAAACGCAACCATGCGTTACGGATAGTTGTAAAAACAAAAAAAAATGTCCTCAACACTGAGGCGTTTCTTTCGATGATTGATCTATGATAGGAATCTTTATAGTTATCTACAAAATGATAACACGACATATTATGCATCTAAGATAAAATTATAGTAAGACGGTATCACGTAGCTTTAATATCTGATTAAAACACACCCTTCCTATGAATCACCTGTGACTTTATTATGGCGGTAACTGTGCAGTGGCAGTGTAAGAATATCCATTACCCCGTAACGTCTCGTGGTGTCGTAGGAGGAGACATAGGGAGACAAACCAGGAGATGGGACAGCAATTTCCTTGAAGGAAACAATTAAAATGTGATGTATGTTCACAAAAATAAAGGTATTTTTACTAAAAAAAGTGACATACTCTCTGTAAACACTAGGAACAAACACAAGCTGGTGCTACCAGTTTCTCGACTCCATAGTCAGTAATTCATTCTTGGGACAATGTATACGCTATTACAACAAAGTCCCAGAAAATATACAAGGTCTATCTATTACCAAGTTTAAATATTTAATTAAACAAAAACTGTATAAAAAGGGTTATTATGGTATAAATGAATACATGATTGATAATAAAACCCCCTGGGAATGATTGAGCGACAGTAGCCTAATGGCAGGGCGCGGACCGCGAACTTGTCGTCGCTCGACACTGGCGTGAACCACTCGTAACACAAGCAATTTAAGCTTACCACGAGTGGTTAAGGGGAATATTAATAATGTTTGTAGCATTATTAATATTCTTTTTAAAAAAATGAGGTGGTCGCTTCCAAGCTGTTTCTAAAATAAATTTTGTAATTATTTTGTGACCCTTGACATTGTAAAATTTATTTTTAAAAAAAAAGTCTCGCTGGATTTCTTGCTGGTTCTTCCCAGGACAGAGGTTTTTTTTTTCGAACCAGTGGTAACGTAAAATATTGACTTTCAATAAGAATTACTTGTAATCTATATTGAATAAAAAATTATTCTATTCTATTCTAATAAAAAGAGAAACTGCGGCTGCCGACCCTCCTGCCAAGCATATCGTTTATGGCAAACATCTCCTATGAAGCAATCTGTGGGAAAGGCTTTGTTCAGCAGTGAACTTTTGTGAGATTGTTACAGTAAGTATAATATTAATGTTTTATAACTATTTGTCACCAAATAAATAAACAAATGAAAAACAACTTACCTATGTCAACTAATGGAGGCCGATCGCGTCCGCGACGCAAGCAAAGGTAACACTCAGGCGATCGCATAGATCCATGGTTTAAGTCAGCCGGCAACCCGGTCGGAGTCAACTCGAGCAGCTCAAAACCACTAGGCACAGTCTCCCCGAGGCTTGGAAACACAACACCTAAAACAAATTAACGTCTAATAGTATTTTATATTTTACTTTCAATCCACGTGAACACTAGCTCAGGGTTTTTTTATTGAACCTGAATGTCAAGCGCACTGATGGTAAGTGACTACGGGAGTCAAAAAACAAGGAAGGCTACAGATTTGTTATCGCCTATGAGGACTAATTGAATATCGCAGTCTGTTATACTGGCTCTTTATACCTTTCAGACCTGAAGACCTGAGACCCACAGTAGTGCAGATAAATGTTTGGCGTCAGATGTAGGGTGGAACACCAGACAGACTCGTGTGCAGATGGCATTGCCAGGCGTCCTGATAAAACCGGATACAGTCCGGTTTTTTGGTGAGTGTCCGGCCAAATTTGACCGTGTCCGGTCTATCCGGCTTTTGTTCTTTTTTATGTACTTACATACATACTATAGCAATTATTGAAATTAATAATGTACGAGGGTGGATTGAAAAGTACTCGGCCTAACCAAGAAAATAAACACATACTAAATCAGTTATATTTTTATTTTTCTACATAATCACCATCAAGTTCAATACACTTTTGCCAACTCCCCTTCCAAGCATTTAGACCGTTGAAAAAAAATGATTCTTCCTTAGAGTCAAAATATGCGTCTACAGCTGCTTTGACCTCCCAAGTGCTTTTTTAGGTTAGGGAACAGAAAGAAGTCTGATGGTGCCAGATCAGGTGAATACGGCGGATGCGGTAACAGTTCAAAGCCACAGTTGTGAATTTCAGCCATTGACTGTACTGACGTGTGAACACGGGCGTTATCTTGATGAAACAGGACTTTTCTTCTGAGCATTCCTCGACGTTTTTCTTTTATTTCCTCTCGTAAACGACGTAGTAAGGTGCAGTAGTAATCAGAGTTTATAGTCTGACCCCTTTCAAGATAATCAATCATAATCACACCTTTCGAGTCCCAGAATACTGAAGCCATCACCTTATTTGCCGACAAAATCGACTTAGCCTTTTTAGGGGGTGGTGAACCAGGTCTTCTCCACTGTTTTGATTGTTGTTTTGTTTCCGGTGTACAGTAATGAACCCATGTTTCGTCCATAGTAACAAAACGATTCAAAAAATCATCTGCATCGGCTTCAAATAACTCCAAACAGTCGCGTGAAATAGTCAATCGCGTCCTTTTTTGTTCAACTGAAAGCAGTCGTGGAACCCACCTCGCAGACACCTTGTGGAAACCCAACTCGTTGACAATGATGTTTTGAGTTCGTTCATAAGAGATGCCTATAATCTCGGCTATCTCTCTAATTTTTAATCTGCGGTCTCCCATTATTAAATCAAGTACTTTTTTAATATTTTCGTCAGTAGTTGACGTCGAAGGCCCTCCAGAGCGGGGTTCATCTTTCACACTCTCTCTACCACGCTTAAATTCTGCTATCCATTTTTTGACGGATGAATATGACAGAGCACAATCGCCTAATGTACTGACCATGTCATCATGGATGGCTTTTGATGATAGGCCCTTCTTATGGAGGTACTTAATGACGGCACGCTGCTCGATTTGCTCCATTCGCGGAAATTATGTCCGATTACTTTGTTAATAAATTTATAAAATCACAACTAATTATCGCACACGTTTCGAACTTCACACAATGAACTAGTCTGAACTGAACTAAATAATGTGGGTAGATTTGATTTTTAGAATTGAATGGATCTGTGTTAGGCCGAGTACTTTTCAATCCACCCTCGTAATGAATATTGAATGATTAATAATAAGTGATCCATTTAATTTTGTTGTTATTTTATTAGAATTTAAGAAGATTTTATGGTAAACTAGCTTGCCAGGCAGACGTTGTTCTGCCCTTTTCGACGACACTTTGTCATTTCCTATTAAAATTTACATCTATCTATTTATTAAAAATCCTTAAATTTGCAAAAAAAAAATTGGGTCACTCATGGGAAAAAAACTATCCTATCTCTCAAGTTGGGCCAAACTGAACACGGTGTGCAAATTAAACTAAAATCGGTTAAGTAGTTTAGGAGTCCATCGTGGACAATCAACGTGACATCTAATTTATATATATTAAGATGATAAAAAAACATTGTTTTATTTTTAAAACGTGATCAAGTTATAATAAAACTAAAATATTAAGGGTATCCTCTTTTTTAACCAAAATGTCCGGCTAGGTTTTAAGAACGGGCAACCCTATGTGCAGGAAAGGAGTCCAACTACATAGTACCTGATTCCTCAATCATGGTACCTCGTTTCGAATCGTATCCAAAGTAAACTGTTGCAATAAATAATATTTAAGATACTCGTAAGAGTTCCTATATTCTTATTTTTCCTTTAACGATATAACAAGAAGTGCTTGGGTAAGGCCAAGTGCAAATACTAAGTGTGGATTAATTTGCCGACATCTGTCTTTCCGTCAGAATACAATCTGGATCTGGATGTCTTAACTTAACCACTGCTACACGCAGATGCAAGTTTTCGAGAAACTTGTTGTTGATGCTCAAAAACTTTATTACTACACTCTTAAATCTTTTCCACTTTATCGAGCAAAACAGCAGTAAGAAATTTGTAGGCAATAAATAAAAAAGTGATGGCAACAATAAAATATATAGAATCATTTTGAAATGCTTAATGGGGCTATTCATTAATTAAGGATGAGTTTGTTGATTTTTGAACCCCCTATCCTTACTATGTTAGGGTAAATAAGATTTCACGAACCTTGGGTTCGAGAAATCTTATCGCCCCGCTTGCTCTTTTTACGTAAGATTCCATCTCGTTTTTCAGAATAATAAAATGTTGTTAGAAAAGGATCAGAATTACACTAAAACTCAGAATTTGACGCAACTCAAAGATCATAAATAAGAGATAAAAAAGATATTTACCATTATATAATTATTAGACAACTATTCGAGATAGTATCTAGTCTAGAATATCTTCACGCGTATTAATAAATTAAAACAAGATTATTATGCGGGTAGAATGTACTATAATAATTATTTATAACATTTAAAATTTTCTCCGCTCCTTTCCCCCCAAGAAAAGGGCTTGTACATATTTTTAACCTTCCTTCCCCTCAGGACCTTTACGTAATGAATTGCCCCTAATATAACCCTTTTACAATAGTGAATTGCACGAAAGAAGTTTTACATTTTTATTAGAATCCTTACTATTGGATCACTACACGTAAAACAATCGTAAGGATTAAGAGAAGTGAGGTATTCCTCAACTAAATGCTATAGTCTCCAAACAATGTATTAGTCTGAGAATTTGTAACAGTTATGAAATGTCAATGAACTTATCAGAGTTCATTCAGTACGTTAATAAAGTAGTAATCAAAAATGAATCACGAGTAGTCATTCAGTCAATAATTGCCCTTTAACTCAAAGCACTGTTGTGCTTTGCTTAGTAAAGCCAGACAAAGTATTTCTACGACTATAAATAAGACATTTGTCCTTGCTTACGTATGTAAATGAGTTACACTGGCAGCCAGTAGTATGATCATTTAGAATAACGAATTAAAATATGCATGTCACAACAAATACAATGACTACAGGTTACTAACTTATTAATTCCATTGCTATGCATTCATTGCAGACCATCAGAAGACACAGTCCTGAGTCACCTGCTTCCATTGACTTCCTGCTTGTCTTAGCAGGTCGTCACTCCATCTAGTGGCGGGCCACTCTACACTTCACTTACTCGTACGATGCTGCTACATGAGAATTTTTCTTCCCAATCGGTTACCTGTTCTTTTACCAAGCGGTCCCATAATGAACTGGCCTGATATAGTTCAACGCGACATGTCGCTACATGTTGTGTTGCATTAAATAGTACGTTTATCGTGCACTTAATATAAGAAACATGCATCGACATGAAATGCTTAGTCTTAGTTTAACAGGCATTTGAATAACGAGAGTCGCGTATTTTTTCAAAATGTCGACTGAGTATCGAAGTGTCATAAAGTTTCTGTTTAAAGAAGGTTTATCCCCTGCCCAAATAAAAGAACGATTGGATGGCGTGTATAAGGAGTCTGCCCCCTCCTATATCACAGTGAAAAATTGGGTGAAAGAGTTTCGCCTCGGGAGAGAAACCGTCGAAGACTTTGGCCACGACGGTCGACCTGTGGAAGTGCTCACTCCCGAAACGATTGCTCTTATCGAAGAGGAGGTTCTGAGTGACCGCCGTTTGAAGATTAGAGAAATTGCAGCAAGGCTTGGGCTCTCTAAGAGTACCGTTCATCGCGCGATCCATGAACATCTTCACATGAAAAAAGTGAGTGCAAGATGGGTACCGAAACTTCTTTCAGCGGTACAGAGACAGGAAAGAGTGCGCTGCGCTTCGGAGGTTTTGGATCTTTGTGGCGAAAAGCCAAAGACTGTGATCGAGCGGCTAGTGACTGGTGATGAAACTATGATCTTGTATTATGATCCACAAAGCAAGCGCGAGTCAATGGAATGGCGTTATAAGGGTGAAAAGCCCCCTAGAAAGGCAAAGGTGCAACAATCGACTAAAAAACTGATGTGCACAATATTTTGGGACTTTCAAGGCATTTTGATGGTGGATTTTAAAGAACGTAATACAGTCGTGAACGGCGAATATTATGCTTCTTTAATATATAAATTACGAGACAAGATAAAGGAAAAACGAAGAGGCAAGCTGTCTAAAGGTGTCCTGTTGCTCGATGAAAACGCCCCTGTTCATACCGCTGGTGTTTCGAAGGATGCAGTTTGTCAATGCGAGTTCACAGAAGTTCAACAACCACCTTACAGTCCAGACATGGCCCCGTCAGACTATTATTTATTTCCAAATTTAAAGCGGGACTTAAGAGGAAGAAAATTTTCAAGCGATGAAGAGTTGCAGGCGGCCGTCTTCAGTCATTTTGAGGATAAAAAATGTGATTATTTTTATAAAGGTTTAGAGATGTTGATTCACAGATGTCAGAAGTGTGTTAGTATTCATGGTGATTATATTGAAAAATAAAATTGGTTTCCTTTCATTTCCTTCATTGGTTCATAGTTAG